GGTGTGCCACTCACTTACGGCAAGTCACCAACAATCCCTTATTCAAGACTACGTCCCTACGGTCCATCTGATTGAATCTTCATGACTCCACCCTGAGCCGGGCACACCATGCGTTTCAAAGATGACCGCTGCACCAGAGCGACTACTAATTGGATTCTACTATTTTCCAGATGAACACTGGACGACCGGTCAACGCGACGGTCAGACTTCTTCGTAAAAGCTCTCAGTTCATCCCCCGGATCCCTCACACGTCGGTTCGGGGGATTCGGAAGATACAAGGGGGAACAACATTGTCCGAAAAGCATAGAAAGCTCAACAGGCAACTCTCGCGGGTTGCTTGAACGGACGGAGACATTACTGGCACCCACTCGAGCAACTAGACGACCACTAACAGCACAGATGATGCAGGACTTCACCCTGGCAGGCAGCTCTAGGTCAAGCTCCCCCGTCCAGATTCCTCGCACGTCTGTTCGGCGGATTCTGAAGCCACAAGGGCGAGAATCATTGTTGGAAGTGGGCGTCTATGTTGTCCACTAATCCTATCACTTTATGTGAAACATGTTCTGGGAATACGCTCTATAAGCGGACCCTATTTTTCGAACCCCCTAAAGAGCATTCAGATAAGGAGTGACTGGCAATAAAACTTACCACCTAAGACTCTCTATTGATAATATAACGAAGGGTAGCAGACCGTCTTCCGTTTGACTTCCGAATGCCACTGGCTGGAAAAGTTGAAAATTGCATTGGAAAAACTGTGATATATACAGTCTTGTTCGAAGCGGACGATGGGGCGTGTCAGTGATTCTGGGTTTGGCGCGCCGCCAACCCATTGTCCACCAGTTGTTGGAGCGGTTAAGCGACCGCGCTAGCGCCCCTCCAAACCATCCCGCTCCCATGTTCCACAAGAAACGAGACTGTAGTTCGTTTTTCTTCAGAGGGCGTCTGCGATTGGTTGCTGTGAATAGCAGACCAATCGTGCAACACGCACCAGGAATTCGTCACACAAAATGCAATTTAATGCATCCATACCTCATCTTTGCTCCTGTAAAACGGTAAAAGGAATAGTCGAATATTCTCCGGTACAAAATATGTGCTCGGCTCTACGAAAACAAACCAATCCGCTTTCTGAAGAACTCGCTCTCACCACACAGTTGATAACAAAGGCAAAAAGTCCTAGAGGGTCACTGCGTGCCTCGTTAGGGGCAACTGGATGGGCGACAAAACAATGGTAATGTTCCATCCTAGTCAGGACAACTAGTCTCGGTGGGCGTGGCGAGAGACGTCGCGCCGACGAGTTGTCCTGCCCAGCTGTTCGAATACGAGGGAGAGAAGGAGTTTCGCTGCTCGTTGATAATTTCGTGTGCCTCCAGTTGATTAATTTTTTATACACATCAAGAATTTACCGCGGCATCGGTCGCACGCATACGCCGCGCGCCGTGACGCCGCGAAGTACGATTGTCTTGTCCGTCTCCCGCAGCAACTCCCCTTCGAGGCTTAGTCACGTTGCGACAAACCCATGTTAACAGAACAAGCCACGTTATGCTAACTGCTGACAAAGTGGAAATGAGCTTATCACGAAATGGGAAGGTGTGACAGGTTGAATCATTTGGAACATGTATGCTCTTGCTTGCCGAGCATGCAGACGAGCAGTCATGACGTGGCTTTCCCTCGCTCGCGGGAGGCCCCTGAGGCACGTGGAGCCCGTAAAAACGTCTTTTCGAACACATTTCGTGAACTCCCTGAAGAACATAACCAGCCCAATACAAACCGTCCAGTATTGTTTGAAAGTGTTGCGAAAAGCTGTTCCGCCAGTAAGGCATAGAGCTCCCAGAATCATACCATGAGAATGAATTGCATCGCTTCGCCCATATCTGGAAGAAAAACGCGATAAAGGGGTGGAAACCTGGTCTCGAACGGAAAATGAGGTAACTTTTTCAACCGTGGGCTCATCCTTTCAATCCGAGTTTCTCCGTAGTATTTTTATTCCTCAAGAGTACACAGTGTATACGTATCGCTATTCTAAGCGTCTCCGCCACTGAAACCGAAAACGAATTATTTTCAGGGAACGAAAGGTTTGCATATGATTAATTGAGGTTCGTGCATAGAAGCCGTTGGTTAAAAGTCTCGCTGCAGGGGCACTAGCCCACTCCTCTCCAAAGCACCAGGAGAGCGCGCTCGTATACCACTCGCTTGGACTGCGTATACTTCGCGATGGCGTGATCAGATCGCTCGATCGCAATCTCATCGCTGCAAAGGATTGCGCGCGATCGCTCTTGCGATAGAAGCGTTTCTGACCCTCGCGCGATCAGACTCAAAGTTGTATACGCGTTCTAGGCCACAAAAAAAAACATAAGCGCCAGCAAACTCTCAGAGGAATATGCCAGCTGTGTTTTGAGGTTTTCACTTCATTTTGAAAATCGTTTATTTTTTTATTTATTTGCAATCACGTGAAGTCTATAAAATTTTTCCCGATGTCAACTTTCGATTTTTCCCGTTTTCTGTTTCCTAATTTAAACTTCAGAAAATAGAAGGGGAGGGGTCGTGGTCTTACACATCACCATGATGTATTGCCACTTTTGCAGTAAACGATGGGGCCTGCCAGTGGGCTTGGCTTGGCGCCTCGCCAGCCCGCCCTCAATCAATTGTTGACGCTGGCAAGCAGCAGCAAGTGGAGGAAAACAGGCTGGCGCCAAGTCAAACGGAGCCTCCTGGCACGCCCATCATCTGTAAGGAAATTTACCACGCTGCGCTGGACATAACCGAGCTTTGTTCGAATATCTCTTCCTTCAAACAGATCACAGAAGTTCGTAAGCATACTCACTGCTCATGTTTGGCTGTTCATACCATTTAGTATAATGGTATAAGTCGTCCACTGACACTATTTCGATGCGAGTCGCTGACTGATGACCCTGAATATCATTTTGTGAATTTTTTCTGCGGACATGAATCTAGTCAGTGCAATCGCAATCCGGGAGGGCAGGGAAGGGGAGAAAGTGGGAGCGTCAAGAGGTGTCAAAGAGTCCGCCATTTTTTTTCTACCTATAGTGAGTGGTTCAGTTAGAAAACAACCAATGGTAGAAAACGCCACGGATGGGCTCATTCCACGCCTCCTGACACCGCGACGATATTACTGTTGTAGGTCTAACAAAGTTCGTTATCCGTTAGGAGATGACTGCCGTTGACGTTACATAAAGTGTTAGTGGCAGTTAAAGTGTACCACCTATAACGTCTCAAATAGCGGGCTATGTGACAAGACAATCGTAATTCGCCTCGCTGGTGGGCTTCACACTCGCACCAAAAATTACTCACCCACCGACGAGCACAACAATAAAACCCCGACGACCTATGTCATTTCTTCATCCAACACTCGACCGAGGGCGCGCGTCTAGCAAACTAAGAAAAGTGACCTCTATCAACACACAGCGCACCAGAACACCAGTGATGCGGACGTCGCACAAACTGACACCTGTATAGGTCGCTTGAGATGGGCGACATATAGACATGCACACACTAATATAGCTATGAATGTCTGCGACTGTCGGAGTCCTACACAATCTGTGCTCCGACCTATGCAAATCGAGAAATCGCCGCGTCCATCGCCGCGCGCGGACTGACCGGACGAAGCCACGATTTCTATGGCCGTGACGCCAGGACAACTGATCATCCTATTTCCCAATAGTATCCGGCAACCGTTCTACTATACAGTTGAAAATGGGACGTTTTAGCGTACAAGTCTGAGGCGAAAAAATCGACGGTGGCTACTTTCGTTGTAGAATAAATTGCATAAGGAAATTCGGCTTAATAACATATTCAAAGGAGACCGCATGATTGGTACCGGCGACGAAGACCAGAAAGAAGTGTACGAAAAGAAACAGTTCGCTCGCTCAGCCTTCCGCACTCGCGCCTCGGCCCGACCCTACACCGCCGACCAACTCCATCTGCTCAGTCAACCGCACATTGGTATGTTAGGATAAGAAATGATTAAAGATGTGGCTCTGAAGCGTTGCGAAGACCACGAAATAACACGTTTTCAACCGGAGGAAAAAAAGTCAGATAAATTGTTCCCTCACCACTGAAAGATTCCTGTTTCAGCGTCTACCAATCCAACCAACTCTATGGGGGTTTTCTTTCATTATCTTATGATTTTTTTTCCTACCTGTTGAGTACACTGCACAGCTAGCCCAAACCAGCGGAGAGGACAGCCATCAATCTAATCACTGCTGCCATACGATGCCTTCTTTCTGTCTAGGGTTCCTTTCGACTGAAAATAATGGAATGATCCCATTCTTCAGCTTCTTAACCCGTACATACCACAACGCCAGAATTCACCCGGTCGTCATCCGTGTGCATGGTCCGCAGCATTAAAACGTAGCCTGACGCAATTTTACACCAACTCATCACTGCGTTCTTCAGTCGGCTTGTTTCATTGCGAATTTGCTTTTTCTGGAAGCATTGTTTGCATTTTCGATCATTACATGGTTTTGGTAGTTGAACTGCGGCAAAATATGTGCTTACTATAAAGTGGTAGGTGTGACATGTGGCGGTTCATGTCTTCTTTTTCGAATCGAAAACTCGTGCGAATCAGTTAGGCATCAGTTAGGTTTTGTACTATTTCACCCCTTAGTAGCTCATGGTCGAAAGCTTGCGAAGTTCTGTGGTTGTGATGGGATATATCAGAGGTCGCATGGTAGTGAGAACAGATGCATCTTTTGCAGTCGTGGCTTGTAAGATTTGGCGAATTCTTTCTGGAATGAAAACAGAGTGCTCCCAATTGTATTTTGCATTTTCTACAGAGTGCTCCTACTTCCCTAGGCCTTACTTTTGAACTTAATGGTGCCTCGAGCCGTGCAAGTACTGAGCAAAATACGTTGTCATACGCTTGTAACTGGCAGCGATTGTTGCCCAAATCCCCATCAATCAGGTGAATACTGTTGTTTCAGACGAAATGCTGTCTCTGCTGGGTCGATCGACCTCTTCGGCTTGTCGGCCGGCCGTGCTGATCGTCGCTCAAACTCACGCCCAGTCCACAACTCCGGCCACAACACCACAACACAGCGTTCCTGAAGCTCGAATCAGCTCCCAGGGTTCACAGTTTAGAAAAGGAACTGGTGGAAGGTATGAATTTCCCTTCAAGCGTAGTCATGGAATAAACCTCTCATCGTTTCCTGGTGGGGTTGAGTTCCCTCAATTTCCTCTTCAATTGAAGTTCCTGAATTCAGTTCAATGGTTGCAGTGTACAGCTTATTCGCTGCGGATGCTGCAGCGTAACAGGGGGCTAGGTTTGGCGCGGCGCCAGCCACTTTCTCACCAGTGATCGCCGCCAGCTTCCACAATTGGAGGAGAACGAGCTTTCGTCGCGCCAAACCCATTCACACTTGGCACACCTCAGCATACGTTCGCGCCAAACCCGTTACCTTGCCACACCTCAGCAAATCGTAAGGAAGCAATGTAGCCGTTTTCCACCCGCGAATGCAATTTGGGGTGGCGTGCGTTTCAGCACTTGGGAGCGCCTATACGTTCGTCCCCTCCCCACTTCAAGGTCTTAGTGGATATTATGCCCTTTCTGCGAGACTATTCCTCAGCGATTTCTGGTCATATGCGCTCTAAGCTTGAGACTTGGTTAGGGGAGGGTGGCAGTGGCCCGTCAGAGTCGTTTTCTCACAAAAATATTTGCGTCCCTTAACTTATCACTTTAGAGCGTCTTTCTCCGGCAATGTTGTTACGGTATTCGGTACTTCTGGCTTCATGGGTCTTCCCGTCATCAACAGACTTGCGAAGCAGGGAGATCAAATCATTATCCCGTACAGGTAATGAACATTCGCTGTAACACGCATTCTTTTGAAGAATGTACAGTTGCAAAATATCGAAAGAAACTTCTAAACCATTTTGTCTTACCAATAATGCACTTTTTCATGTTCAGGCAGGATCCTTACTATATGAGAGAGCATAAGGTACCTGGTGAATACGGTCAAATTCTGTTCTTCCCTTTCGAACTAAAGGACGAGGCAAGCATCAGAAAGGTAGGATGAAACCAGGATTTTTATAATCATTGATAAAGAATCGGTTGCATGCGTCAATAATTTTTCAAAATTTCTTAGCAGACGTGATGCTCATTGGTGACATCGTAGCCAGTTTCTGTGCTGTCGTTTTTGACTGGTATTTCGTCAAGGGATCTATTTACCTTTCTGCTAGAAAATTTGTAAGGGTCGAGAATTTGCTGCAATGAAATTGGAACCCTGCAAGAATTCGAATTTGGAGTCACCAAGTTAAACGTGTGAGTGCTGATAGGCTACGGCATAAAAGCCGTTAAGCGGTGAGAG